TGTATACGGGGTAAAAATGGGAGTTCATAACCCACTTGAATCAAAGTATGAAATATGATATGTAAAGAACTATGTAATGTTTTGAACAACCAACAATAAAAATTAAAAAAAAAAATACAAGCACTCCCTGAGTTCCACAGGCCAGATCACAACCCACTTACTCAGAGCTATACACCACCCAGGCCTTATCCTTGCTCCCACTCTCCAGGCTGAAGACCCCCAAAATGGCCCTGCAAGCCTCACTGCCTTCACAATGGCCATTGCTATCTTTATGTTTACGGAGCAAACTTTCTACAAGCATGCCTCCTCAGTACAACCATGATGTTAAATTTAATTCTTTATTGTAATTATTATTAGGTAAACACCTTTGTTTTCTGCTGTTTGATTGCATACGGATAGTATATAGTGAATTAAAGTTTTTCCTATACTTTTTGTGCATTCCAAACAATTAAATTCCAAGAGCTGGGGATGCAACTCAGTAGTAGGACATTTGCCTAGCACATGTGAGGCCCTGGACTCAATCTCCAGTTCCGCAAAAATAAACAAATAAATAAATAAATTTCCAAGCAAATTACAAGTACAATACACATAGAAATTGAGGATGTCTTATATGTTATTAATGGTAAGACCAACAAGTTAATTTCAAACTTCAAGGATTCATCATCTCAGATTTTCCCCAYAGAATTTTCCCCCACAACTATAAACAACAGTGTTTTAATATCTTGAACATTCAACATTGTAATCCGGTTTCTGTCTCCCTATTTAATAGGCATTCAAATCTTCTGATACTAGTGTTGCTTATGCTTACAGAAAATCTCTTCCTCCCCTCCCACCCTCCCCCCTCCCCTCCCCCCTCTTTCACTGTTTCAGAGCAAGAAAACATTAAAAAAAGGAAAATGAGGCACGAACAATAGGAAGAATGTACATTGATCGATATTATACAGCTTACTCAACACCTTTACTTAAGTCTTCATTTTCAAATTCACATTGACAATACTAAGTGGCTTTATCTGTGCTATAAATGAAAGAAAAATATCTCAAAGTTCTCAGTATACTATTTCTTTTTTTTATTGGTTGCTCAAAACATTACAATGATCTTGACATATCATATATCATACATTTGATTCAAATGGGGTATGAATTTTCTATTTCAGTCTAAATCGGAGATCACCAAACTCTTTCAGGTAGTAACTATTTTAGGCTTTAGGATATTACATGGATACTTCTATTACAAGGCAGAAAACTTTGGTTTGCCTGGGATGGCAGATACAGGTGACAAATACAGTTTGTGACAGCTGTCATTGACTGGAGATGATGGGGAAGAGTGACTGGCAGCAGGGGAAGGGGTGGTCAGTTTTACTCCACCCCAGTGACAAGGGTCCCAGCACACCCTTTTCTTCTCTCAGCTGTCTCCCCTGAGGCAGCAAGGCCAGTCACTGAGGCCCTTAACTCCAGGAGGGAGACACCACCCACCCGTGGCTGACCCCGTAGCCATCAACAACAAAGTATATGTGGTACGAGAGCAGGCCCTGGGCAGCAGAAAGCAGGGTCACCACAGGACAAACAGGCACTGTAAGCAAAGTGGAAACAGATGAAGCCAACCAGCCACTTCAGTTCAGGATTTAGTCTACAGAAGCAGTGCCCACAGCTCCCACAAACACAGCTCWCAGACCTCCATGGAAACGATAAAAGCAGACTTCCAGCTTAATGTGGCAGCCCAGGGACAGGCCACTTTGATATTCTTATTGCAGCAGTCACCCTCTCCCATTCCCACCACCCCCACACCCTACCCACACCTGAGTATAAACAGAACTAAACAGCAGCACAATAGGAAGCACAGCCCCTGCTTCTTCTAGAAGTTACCACAAGGTGAGGCCGGTCTGAGAAGCACATAARTGGTGTACTCAGCAAGACAGTGCAAAAAAAAGTGAGGCCATTAACTAAGTCCAGGTTTGCCTCTAATTCCAAGTCCTAGAAATCTAGAGAAATCAGATATGGGAACAGATTTATGCCCAAGTTTTTCTTTGTAACAATTCAATATAGAAGGTGAAGACAATCTTCGTATTCAACAATAGGAAATGGTTAAATTCATACTGTGGAATATTCTAGATTTATTAAAATGCTATTTTAAAGAATAGTGACAAAATGCATACATGATAACATTTTGACAAGCTATATTTAAAATAGTGGCCATAGCCAACATCTCTTGGTATATTAGTATGTACTACATTTACTGTGCTTCAGGCAATGTGCTAATCACTTTATATATGTTAATTCATGTTGTACTTTCAGTTGTCTCCTAAAAAAAAAGGTCCTATGTCATCTCCACTTTGCTTTTGTAGCAGTGGTTTCAGACTCCATAACCGACTGGTGGGGTGAGCCTCACCCAGAAGCCACCAGCATGGGGGAACGACCAATGCTCATTGGAGAACTCTTCCTGAGATAAGAAACCAGGCTCAGACTTCCACCCAGTAAGACAGCCTTGGTGAGTGAAGTCTGTAAAGTTGTGGTTCCTCAGCCAGGTCTGCAGACACTCAGAAGTCAGACGTCAAAAAAATACCAAGAAAGCACTTTCATTCAAGTCCTGCAAACCATTCACACACAAGCAGCACTGGCAAGCTTCCTCTGAAAGGGAAAGTGGGCAGGGAGAGGTCGACTCTTCCCCTTACAACAAAACATATGCCTCTTTGCTAGTCCAGGGATCCAGACTGCAGCTGAGCAGGAGTCAGCAGTGCTGGAGAGGATGTCTTTCCCCATGGTATCACGGTAGACAGCATGCCTGGAGAATTCTTCCTCCCAAAGATTCTGAGGATAATTTCTGTGACAGAAATTCAGCATAAACAGATACTAGCAGGAGCCTGCAAACCTGCATTATTAATCATCTAGAATGAAAGATGGATAGAAGGCAACTTTGGGAGTGTGGGCTTGCACATATGACATTGTATGTTCCCATGCTATACATATATTTATAATATGTATCTGCTGTGTTGGAATTAAATTATTATTATTTTCTTCTCTCTACTTTTTCTGAGTTTTCTAAGTGATTGTATATTACTTTAATGATAAAAGAAATCAAAAGTTTTTAAAGAACTAGGAGAATATTTTTCTATCCAACTGTTCTATACATAGTCGATTTTTGTTCTAAAGCAGAACTAAATTTGACCCCCTTCCCTTGAAAAAAACCACAGTGCTTGTTTGTGTCTCTATAAAATTCAAGTCTGCATAGTTAGGATATATAGTCAAGTAAGTTATTCTATCCTGGAATGACAATTACCAGTGTTTAGTTGATTATTTAACATGACAATACAAACTACTTTCCACTGGAATTTGGTGGATTTTTTTGTGGAATATGTTTTCTTAGAGAAATAGTAATGCTTGAGGTATTAAAGTGCACTGTCCAACCCATTAAAAAAATAGTGTAGCCCAAGTCCCAGATTACAGAAACCAAGGATCCTGGGTACCTAAAATAAAATTGTAGACCTTGCTGGCTTACACAGTGGGATGGTCCTATTTCTAAACACCTGATTTAGATTTCTATGGTTTGGTAAAGGGGATTGAGTACTGTAAGGACCCAAAGTTGATATAAGATGGGGACAGCATTTTCTGCTCGTTCCTGTAAAACCTGGATTTCTCTTTTCTTCTAAGATCATAAAAGGTCACAAGTTCTGTTTTGGTCTTCCACTCATTATTTGGTGAGATGGTGGATAAGACACTTAACCTTTCTGACCCTATTCTATAAAAAGAAAATCTGAGCATGGATACTGCAAGGTTTTTGTGAGAGCAAAAATAATATATTAAAGGTTTGAGCAGGGTACCTGGCACACTGAATGTATTCAATAAATAGCACACAGAAAATA